ACACACACACACACACACGCGCACACACACACAGACATTTGCTCTTCTCCAGCACAATGACCTTATCGACATGGTGCCCTTCTCTTTACTCAATTACATGAAATTAAAAATAAATATTGGTATCAGACATATCATGTCCATATCCAACAAAATGTTTTTTATATTAGTCATTACTGAAGACCAAACATATATATAATGGTTTCAATCATTTTTTTATATCCAAAATCATAACCAAACATAATAATAATATACTTTCTTGATATCAATCAGTTATTTGTACCCAAGTCATCACTAGACATAATATTATTCATATTGGTATCAATCATTTAATTTATTTATATCCAAATCATAACCAAACATAAGATCTTGGTGTCAATCATTTATTTATATCCAAATCATAACCAAACATAAGATCTTGGTGTCAATCATTAATTTATATCCAAATCATAACCAACATGTAGCATCTTGGTATCAATCATCTATTTATATTCAAATCATTCGCACGTTCATTCGTTAGAGACCCAGCTCAGAACAAGTACCAGTCACCCAGACGTTGTTCTTTAGTTTTAGCAAGTGTTTTACGGCCCTTGCAACACAATAAGGTCATATAAATGCCGAAGATTAGAGGTGTTACAAGAGAATAACAAACACAAAATAGAAGGAGGGGAGAATAGGACGATAAATGTTTGATAGGAAAGAAGGAGCAAACCACACCAGAGCACCCCCTAACCACCCATAGACGTTGTTCTCCATGTTTGCAGGGAAGATGGCGATAACAGCGAGGTGCTCGCCACGGCATCAGTCTACGAGGATGGCAACGAGAACCTGCTGGGAGCGACAAAGACGTCAGCCCTCTTTGCAGACATGGTTCGTTCGATGATTCGTGTGTTCGTTCGTTCGTTCATTCGTTCGTTCGCTGGCTGGTTCATTTGTTCGTTTGTTGATTCATTAGTTGGTTCATTCGTTCGTTCTTTCGTTCGTTCGCTGGATGGTTTATTAAGTTGGTCCGTTCTTTTGGTCGTTGGTTTGTTTGTTGGTAAATTGGTTGATTGTTTCTATCATATCGTTTTCTTCTTCTTCTTCTTCTTCTTCTTCTTCTTCTTCTTCTTCTTCTTCTTCTTTCGAGAAGTACAGAATTATTCCTGGAGCTTCAGACCGGCATTTCTGGTGTGGCGGTTGGAACTTCACTGTCACATGCAAGAGACCCGAGTTCCATTCTCGAATGGGGAAACATTTTTAGGAGATTCTCAGACTTTCTGCTGGGATGGTGCATCCCTCTAAGCCTGGGTAGTCCATGACAGACAGGATGGGAAGCCCGCCGAATAAATCAAATGTAAATTATGTCGATGGGAGCTTAAAAAAGACATCCCTTTTCACCTTCACCTTCACCTACCCCGTGGACTGGATGTCTGTCGATAAGCTTTTAAACATTTGGCCACCAGCTTCCTCCCCTCCTTCCGGTTTTCAGATTTCCCGAGCGTGTCTTTGAGTTCCAGGCCAGTCCATTCCTTGATGCCGTTCTCCCAACCCTTCTTCGGTCTGCCTCTGCTACATTTTTCCTGGACGCTGCCTTGCAGGATCATCTTGGCAAGGCCGGATGAACGGGTGATGTGTCCATACCACTGCAGGTTGCGTTTCCTGACCAGAGTTAAAGGGTCAGCATATGATCCAATTTCATTTTTGATCCGTAGTTTGAATTCATCATATTTTGTGATGTGATCTTTGTATGAGATACCAAGGACTTTTCAGAAGCATCTCATCTCCACAAGATTGATCCTTCTTTCAAGGTCTGCATTCCAGGTCCAGGTTTCACACGAATACAGAAATATTGACATGACTAGGAACGCATCAGTCTGACCTTTGATCTGATGGTGACATTTCTGTCGTTCCAGATGGTTTTCAACTTGGTCATTTCTGCTGAAGTTTGGGCTATTCTGGAGATTATTTCTGGATTTGATCCTTCGTCTGTCACTATTGCACCCAGGCATTTGAAGCTGCGTACTGTCTCAAGCCTCTGGTTGTTGACCTGGATGTCCACTGTGATGTTCTTGCAGCTGTTAGACATCAGTTTGGTCTTTTCATCTCTGATTTCCATGCTGTAGGCTGTGGAGGTCTTTTCAAGACGGTTTACTAAGCTTACTAGTTCTTGCTCTTGTCCTAATAAAGGCATAATATACCTTTTGTTAAAAAAAATTGTGTGTCTGTCTATCTTCAGTCGTCTGAATCGTTTGTGAACCTACGTTGGACTGCCGCGAGAAGCGATCTTGACGGGGACTACAAGTGTGAACTGAACGGCTTCGACAAAGACAACCAGCATGTGTTGCTGTACAAAGATAAGACCCTCCAACTCACAGGTAGAAAACTGTAGAACATATTATTCTTATAACTATAATGAATGATTATAATAGTAGGCCCAGGGTAACCGACATAGGGAACCTAAACAAATTGGTAAAGGGGATAGGTCAGGGAAACGTAGCTTATTTAAGAGCATCTGGGCAAAGGAATGAATGGAGAACCATGATCGTCGATGTCTGTCGCAGATCTGGCACTGGATGATGATGATAATGATGATAAAGAATGTCTTGCATACGTTATGGTGGTAGATCATGATTTATCCTCTGAGGGAATCCTCAAGTTGTAATCACGAGTTGCCGCAAGGGATTAGAATTTGTTATTTCATAAGTAGGATAGATCAAGGTTTACCACCATAATGAATAAAACAAAAGCGTTTTTTGTTTTAACAATACGTTGCAATATTTTTTAAAACTGATATGAGTCAACGAAATAAATCTATCCCAACACTTGATTTCTTTTATATTTTATTTTTTTAAATTTTATTTTACTTTGTTTTATTTTTTTTTCTTTGATTTTTACTATGGAATATAACATTTTTACTGATATCAGCTGGAGAAACAGATCTGGTCTAACTAAGATCAAATGTCTACTCTCAACATGTCTCCAATCAGAGTCGAAGTAATAAATGGGGAAATGAATCTGGATTCGTTCTACCTAAATCTGTACAGACACTATCCACATGTCTCCCTCCAAGAAAAAAACCCAACCCAAAACAAAACAATATGAATATAAAAATAGACAATAGGAGTAGAAAACACACGATTCAACTGGCCAAAGACAGAGAAAATGCTACATGTTTTATTCCATGTATGACAAACTTTGTTTTATTTTTTTCTTCCAACTCTACAATGGGGGATCTTAGACACGGACCCCATCTTGACTCTTAAACCAGAAGTGGCCCAGGTCGGCCTGACCCGGATGTTGACCTTGAACTGTTCCGTAAATAGCATGAGTGACCTCAAACTGAAACAGGTGACACTTTGTTCTGTTTTTGTTTTTAGTTGTTTGTTCTTCTGCTACTGTGCTTTTTGGGACCTATGTAGGAAGGATAGTTACACAGCATTTCACATAGATAGATCGATCGATAGATAGATAGAGAGAGAGATGGATAGATAGATAGATAGTCGGTAGATATATAGATAGATAGATCGATAGATAGATAGATCGATAGATAGATAGATAGATAGATAGATAGATAGATAGATAGATAGATAGATAAATAG